TTAGCCAAGTCGTATAGCCCTAGTAAATGTAGATGTACTGTAGGCCTAGGCCTAGATGGACAGCCTCGGCTCGGTTCCAGCCTGGCCTGGGTCTAGCTAGGCCTAGCCTATGCCCTAATTTATTAAGGTACTGAGTCTGAGTCTGAGTCTGTGGGTTGAACTAGCCACGTATTGTTGGAAACCGTTCTGACATATTGACCTAAGTTATTGAGAAACTTTGCATTTCAACGGATTATCAATGTGAACGTTCATATAACCAAGAATTACAGGTTTACCAGTAATCAACACTTCATACAAAAATTAATCAAATTCTTCCAAGAACTGAGATGTTTTGTAACCGTTCTTTTTAGATGGTCTAGGAAGGTTAAATACCAATTGTGCGAATACGTTTTGAGATATCTGTTATACAGGCATGCTTAAACGTATTTGTTAAGATACCCGTTGGTGATATGCATAGATTAAGTTGACTGTTAAAAATAATTGCAATTCCACTATGTTATCTTCTGTTCTAGGAAAATTGAAAAGAGATTATTCTTCTGGAGTGCTTTCACAGATTACAACAGGGTCTTCTTCACATAGCCAGGATTCAGTTATAATCAAAACATCGACATCATTCTCGAGAATAAAATCAACAACAGTTGATTACACATCGACTGAGCGTTCCACACGTCAAGTATTTTCTTAATCCCAATATTAACCTGTAATAAATTGTTCAGATTAACACCATTCCATTTCCTATAAAAACATCGTGATTGTATAATTATTTTACGAATTCTACGATTCTTACTACCACGATTTCCTCGTTTACACTATCGTTTACGAACAGGTGAGTGAAAATAATCGTTTTATAAACACTGAGGATCTTGGCGTAATTCAAATGGCGTTCGTTCCATTAGTCTGTTTTGTGCATGCCTGATATGCAAAGTGATCTGTTACACAAAAGGCTAGCGTAATGGTTTTCAGGCTTACCATTGTCCACCGTTCGACTGTCGTGTTGGGGTCTATGTTGACTCGCAAGAGAGGTTAGAACTCGAATTATACTCAGTAGACTTTATGCAGTTCCTTGTTGTGTTTTATTATATGTCACAATCAATCAAATATACAAAATGTGCTGACTCTATAATGTAAACATAAAACGTTTACTCTCTTTCTATCTCTATCTCTGTCTATTTCTCTGTCTCCTTCTCTGTGTCCTCCTGTCTCCTTTGCGTGTCTTCTCTCTAATAATTTCATTCTCATATATATATATATATATATATATTATATATATATATACATACATATACATATATATATATAGATATATAGATATATATAGATATATAATAGATTCCAAGAACATCATTGACTCATCAACTACCTGGGTGAACAACCTTAGTTACTTCCTGAAGTTGACCATAAGGTAGGACTGGAATGTACCTGTTGATGCCAATGTGGGTTTCCTGGGAATTTATACATGACAAGACTGAGCCCCGCTGCTATGAACACTGGCATAACTACAAATGATAGGCTACACAATACGACAACTAAAATTCGAAAATAAAGACAAATCCATAAAAAACTTTTCTCGAATGCCAACAAACAGCATCACTAGCAAAAATCAGGCATCCACTTGTACAAATTATTCATGGAAAACATCAAATTCAGAAAAAAAACGAGCAAAATACACAACGAAAGCGGACTGATGTGGCGCTGCGTGTCAAAGTAAAATAGTTCATAGTAAAAAATAGTAAGATATGGGAAAACATTTCTGGAAATATTAATCATGCTATTTTTGCGAAGTCTTATCCTTTGATTACTTGGGAAATAAACAAATTGTATGCAAAGAAACGGAATCTATATAAAAAATTTAAAGCTTATAATATTCAAGATCTATGAAATAAATTTAATTCATGAAGTAAGGAACTAAAAAAGGTAACATACTCTAGTCATCGTGACTATGTACTTAATATTTCCAATAATGTTTCTACCAATTTAAAGCAGTTTTGGGCATATTTATGTGGGATCAATTCATCAACAAGATTCTCAAATTATCCGTTTTAAAGCTTACAACAATATGGTCACAAATGCATAAGACCTTGCAACTTTATTTAATGAACAATTCGCCCAAAATTTCTGTAAAGATTGTGATAATGATAACAGTGATCTGGATGAAGATTTGTGTACTGATCTTGTAGCTAACACGGAATTTAAACCTTTTGAAACTTATGAAGTGTACTATGCTTTGTCACAACTTAATGCATCTTAGTCTCCTGGTCCTGATGTTTGCTCCCCATTTTTCTCAAACAGTGCAAGGCTGAATTAGTTACCTTTTAATGTAATTTCTTTAATCTATCAATACAAAGAGCTAAATTGCCTAAACAATGGATATTTTCAAATGTATATAACCATTAGACCACGGAGGCTTCATGGTTGAACAGATTCAAATACCACCAGATACACTCCATTACACAATAGATACGGCGCTAGAAACAATATAGGTGCATATAATATAAATCAAGATAGCCGTTAACACTGTTAAATTATATATAATAAATCATCAAAGAAAGGTAAATACAGTGTTTAATAAAGGACAATAATACATCGCGTAGCATAGCTCTCAACGAATGTAGTCCTGCAAATAAATGAATAAATAAATTGTGTAATAAAATGCCTCTGGTGGGACTCGAACCTGCGACCTCTCGCTGTCAAGGCGAGCGTCATAACCATTAGACCACGGAGGCTTCATGGTTGAACAGATTCAAATACCACCAGATACACTCCATTACACAATA